ATTTAGTGAATATATAGGGAAAGTTCTCGAAATAGGACTAAAACGGTTTCAAAATTCCAAAATTGAGTTGTCATGTTTTTTATTCCCAAAATAGGACTAATTTGACATGTTTGAAGTCTGGTACTGCCAAAACATGGGAGTAATATAATTAGTCCTATTTTGGGAATAAAAACATGGCAGTCCTATTTTAGAAGTTTCAAACTGTTTTAGTCCTATTTCGGGTAATATCTCGAATATATATTAACTATTATATATTTGAAAATTATCATGTATATATTTCTAATATAATTTCTATGAAATTTTAATTCTCCTCCGTCCCAAAAAACTTCGCTAAATTGACTTTTCTTGGTTAATGATAATTAACTTTGACCAAAGTGGCTTAATTGGTCGAATATTTTGAATTATGAAAAAAATCAACAAAGTAATTAAAGAAGAAATTATATGGAAAATCAATGAAATTATCGTTTTCAACTAATTCAATCAAATCAATTAGAAATGTAACTTATTTATATAATTATATGATTCGGTACGTGAAATCAAAAGTTATATATGATCGAATAGTATTTTATCGAGAAAAAATGGTTGATGAGCTTGATAACGAGAATTACTAAACTGACTTTTAACTGCATTCGTCATGCATGAACGACGGGTGAGTTAGACTATTTCCTCCATCCCTATCCTCCTAGAATGGAATGACTAGAGTTTTATTTAAGGTAGGTTAACATATAGACAAGTCCCCGATCTCATGTAAACCTTATCCATGCAGCTTTTCAGGTGTATATATATACTACTCGATCACATCCTCCCATCATAAAAAAACCTATTCTCCTCCGCCTCATTATGGGTTCTCTAAAGTTTGCCCTCTTGCTTTGTTTGGTGGCTGCGGCCCTTTTTGTGGGGGAAAATGGCGGCGGCGGCGGCGTCGAAGCCTCTCATCATATTCATATGAATCTTCATCCTCAGAGTTCACAAACGATGGATCGGGTTCATCGTACTGGTTACCACTTTCAGCCTCCCAAAAACTGGATCAATGGTTCGTTTCCAGTCTTCCATATCTAATATTCTAATCTTAAGTCGTCTTTTAATTTCTGTCTTATTTGAAAAAAAAAACATTTACTACTGAATATTCAATTTATTGAACTTCGTACCGACATTCAATTAAATTGTTAATTTGTGATCACCGTCGTTGTTTTTGAAACCCTCTTGAATCTTGATCTTGTTACATATTTGGAAAGTTCAATTAATGGTTTCACAATATATACCAAAAACATCTCAATTTATGTCATCAATGTTGATTATGTATTTGATCCCAATTTCCAATAGACTGAATAGAGGTTATACGTCTCATTGAAATATACTTCTTCAAAATTGCATTTAAACTATTGCATATTTTTTCACTCAAAACCATGCTTGGAATTGAACACTCGATCTTGAATAACGATTACTAGTATTAATTACGTAGAATTATTGCATTACTCGTCTTTTAGTTATGAGTTTTTAATTTGGATGTAGAATATCGATGGTCCGATATGATTGATTTTTTTTTGAAATACGAATTGATGGCATGCATTATAATGTAAAATCTAATTGATGGCATGCATAATAATGCAATTAAATGAAACGCAGAAGGAAACAATTACGAGTAAGATTTATGAGGATTTAAATTTTCTACGGTTGAATAGTCCTATTAAATTACTGCTTATTCTTTCAATAGTTTAGATAATACTCCGTTTTTGTTGATTATTTTCACGGATTTTTAGATGATTTATTTACGTACCTATCAAAACATTCAAACTTAATCCTTCACTTATCCTCTTAACAATTTCTCTCTCCTCCTTGGTTTTTTGAATATAATACTCTCTTAGATAAAATATTTTAAAAATTAAGAGTTACACACACATATACATCAGTACATCTCATGTGAAATAACATCTATGAATTTCACCATTTCAATTTAGCTTACAATAGACTCACTCAACTGAAACAATTTTTGCACTCATCTCCGATTAAAAAAAATATTCATTCTAATAATATACTCCGTATATAATATTTATTAAATTTTTTATAATTTACATTCTGGATAATATTAACGAAATAAGTTTTATTGTAAAGTTTTATCATTTCAAAAATACACTATTATTATACCAGTACATGTTTATCATTTTAGGTATGATATTGCGTTTTATTCGATCTAGTGTACCGTGCCTTATATTTTAAGAAAACGCTTGAGAATCAGGGTAAACACCAGGAAAATTATGTACATATTACTCCATATTGATAGTACATTTTACAAATATGTACATGTTTTTCATCATATTGTAATTTTCCATATTGATATTTGAAGTTAATAAATATCAGTGCCAGCAACCAATTGTTTTTATGAGTTAAATTCGTAATAGTGATTGAATTTATACTCCCTCCGTCCCACAATGAACTTCATTTGACCTACACACATATTAAGGAAATAAACTTACCATGATGTAAATTTTACTATTTTGACACTGTTTCGACACCGTTTGGCAATGTTTTGCACTGTTTGACACTGTTTTGCACTGTTTGACACTGTTTTGATGTTGATTAACTTCACATTTAAGGAAATGAGAACTTCTTTCTGGGACATCCAAAAAAGGAAAGTGGGAAGTTCATTGCGGGACGGAGAGAGTATAATATAGACATGACTATTTTCTTTAACAGGATGATGATTAAATAACACGGAGGATATAATATGTTGCTTATTAACTACATTTAAACGTACATTTAAAATAAAAAATGCCAATGTACGGGAAAGAATAAATAAGGTTTTATATGGACTAATAAAGTTTATTCGCATTGTCCGTTATTTTAATCCCTCTATCCTTACAATTAACTTCGTTAATTTTCCTTTTTTAAGTAATTAATCAATTTACCCTTAAAAAATAAATAATAAAGTAAATTGTAATTTTTAGTATTTATCACAATAGCATAGTGCTGATAAGATATACTGTACTACGTATGAGGAATGATGATTTTGTACTTGTAGCATAACTTATAAAAATAAACTTAAATAGACACGAGCTAGTAATTATTATTACATACCCATTCATATCAGACCACACGAGTAATATTATTAAATAACGCCCAATTAAATAACGCCCAAATCAATTAGCTCTCTCACTATCAGACCACACGAGGAACAATTAAATAACGCCCAAATCAATTAGCTCATTTGGTTAAAATAGGTTAGGGATGTTACCGTGACTAGTGGGGGTCTCGAGTTTGAATCTCGCTAGGCACACAAGAATTTGAAACCCAATGAAGTAAATTTCAGCCCTGATTACTTCAGGCCCCTAGACCTCCTAGAGTTAAAAAAGGTTAGGGACGAGAGTTATACAAACTTCTTATTGTCGTGTCCCTCTTTTCTGGTCCAAATCGTATCTTACCTAACAAATAATCCGTAGTCCTAAAATTTTATTATTTTGAAAAAAAAAAACATCAATGTAATTTTCAACAAGTAATAAAAATATAGGAATTCAACGAATATTAGTCTATATAATGGACTTTTACATGCTTTTGAATTTCAATTGAACACCCAAGTGGACTTTCACATTTGTCAATTCCTTTATGATCGATGAGTGTGCTACAATACCTCACATATAAGTGATGGTATTTAAAATATGATGTACGGAGTATTTAATTGATTCAAGTTGTTATTTAATTTGGTCTTTTAATTTGTTCATTTCTTGAATTATATACCTTTATACCTTATTGAAGGTACATTAAAAAAACACTAACATACACGCCCATTTTAAACGTGCATGTTTCCCCAAAATAGGTTACTTAGGAATGGTCAATGTAGTAGTTTCAAACGCTTCATAAATAGTAGTTTTCAACGTTCATGTCAATAAATTGGTTACATATAAATGTCAAGACAAATTGGTTACATATAAATGTCAAGAGAAATCGTACCAATAGACTTTTATTTATTGTAAATTAAAGTTAGATTTGTGGAACCACATATATTTCACACCCCCTTATGGCGTCATATGAGTTATTGTGGTGTCACAATAACTCATGATTCCATAACGAAGTCATATGCAATCGTTATTGTTGGTTCTCGACTTATAAGTAGTCTCTAATAAATAGACAAAAATGACAAATCTGTTACTCTCACTAGCTCCAAATAAATTTCACACTTTGAGTTTACTATGTTGAAGAAATGAAATTATTGCTTTTGATTTTTCCATCACACTCTTAGAAAAAGTAGATTAGGTGTAGTGAGAGATAAAAGTGAGTGTATATGAGTAAATTTATATCAAAAAATTCCAAAACTAGAAGTTTGAAAATTGTGTTGCACCTGTCCAAAAAGAAAAATGTGAACTAGATTATTTGACATTGGAGGTACTAAAGTATAACGTTTTCGGTTACATTTTTATCAGTTCACTACGTATCAGTTCACTACGTATTAAAGTATTTCCCAAGAATGTTATCCACTGATCTGTCTCATTTGATACTAAAAAAAGGAAATTTGTATGCTTCGTATGATTTAATATTTTTTCTTTTCCGATGTATAAAAAAATGATTTAATATTTTTATCTCCTTCATATAGAATAAACCATTATTTTACCCACTGTCTTTCACATATATAAGTCTGTAGGCATATCTATAATCCTAAATCATTGCGAATTAATAAAGTACGGAGTATTATTTACAAAATACACAGGACAACTTTACATTGGAAAAAAGTACTCCGTACATTTGGCTTATATTTTCTTACCTTAATTAATTGAGAAAATTAATTTTAGAAACACTAAAAATAAAAATTTATTGACTGACTGTTTCAACTACTTCCTTTGCATGGGTGTTGCGCGGGATTCCATGTCGACGACCAGATCCAAACGGTGAGTAATGGTTAATTTATTATTGTTTAATTTGATTAAATTAAATAAATTACGACAAATTATTATTTATTAACGCGTTGAAGTATCAATAATCATAATATTCTTTTAAATGTAAATGTAATTCAGGCCCAATGTATTACAAAGGATTGTACCATCTGTTCTACCAGTACAACCCAAACGGGTCTGTATGGGGCAACATAGTTTGGGCCCATTCAGTTTCTAAAGATATGATCAACTGGAAACATCTAAAGCCCGCAATCTACCCGTCAAAGCCGTTTGACCAGTTCGGGACATGGTCCGGATCTGCCACCATCCGACCCGGAAACAAGCCCGCGATATTATACACCGGAATCATCGATAACAAACAATCTCAAGTCCAAAACCTGGCCTACCCGGCCGACTATAACGACCCGTTTCTCCAGGACTGGATCAAACCGGACCACATCAACCCAATCGCAGTACCCGATCCCACAATCAACAAAACCACTTTCCGTGACCCGACGACGGCCTGGTTGGGGAGGGATGGACGGTGGAGAATGGTGGTGGGTAGCAAGAGAGGGAATAGGAGAGGAATGGCATATTTGTACAGGAGCAGAGACTTCGAGTATTGGGTCAAGGCGAAACACCCGTTGCATTCAGCTCCGGACACGGGGATGTGGGAGTGCCCGGATTTCTTCCCGGTTCGGGCTCAGGGGAAAGCGGGTGTGGACACAGTCTTAATGGCCGGCAGGGAGGACGTGAAGCATGTTCTTAAGGTGAGTTTAGATGAGACTAGGTACGAGTATTACACCTTGGGGAAGTATCACGAAGAGAAGGATAAGTACATTCCTGATAACTCTTCCGTTGATGGCTGGAATGGGTTAAGGTTTGATTATGGAAACTTCTATGCATCCAAGACTTTCTTTGACCCGAGCAAGAACAGAAGGATTCTCTGGGGTTGGTCTAATGAATCTGTTGCCTCCCCGGATCAGCTTGCGAGCAAGGGTTGGTCTGGAATTCAGGTAGTAACATCAATGCTTACAAATTTGTTGTTTTTTCCAAAAGTAAAGACAAATAATTAACTGATTATTACTCTTCTTGAAATGATATGTATAGGCAATCCCACGAACAATCTGGCTGGATCCTATGGGGAAACAACTTGTACAATGGCCCATTGAAGAAGTGGAAGCCAATAGGGAGAACAAAGTTGAATTGAAAAACCAAACGCTGAAAATGGGAGAAAAGATTGAAGTTAAGGGAATCACACCTGCACAGGTTTGTTTGTTACACACATACAGTAATATTTAGATGGTAATCATTTGCTGATTTTATATTGATCTTACGGTCATTGTAATTGCGGCTGCTACAGATTGGTGTGATGAATTAAGCAGTGGTGGGTGAATAATATTATGTTTTGCACATAAAAATAATAAAAGATTTGATAAGGTTGTGGCATATGAATCTATTGCTTTTAAAGAGATTGCATTATATGCAAGTAAGATATATAACGTTAGTAAAAAAGATTTTGAATACTTCTCTTAACCAAGTCTAACACTCTAACTAATTTAAAACCATGCTACTAACAAGTCAAAACCCCTTATAGTTGTGAATTGCTAAAATGATGGGGTTCTTAATAGCTTGAATCAAACCATGAATTGAATCGATTAGGGAATCTAACTTTTATAAATATATGTGTGTTTGTGTGTGTGTTCTTCCGTTAATATATATGGTGCTTGCACACAGGCTGATGTTGAGGTGATTTTCTCATTCCAAAGCTTGGACAAAGCAGAGTCGTTTGATCCCAGCTGGGATATCTATGATGCTCAGAAGCTATGCAGCATAAGGGGCTCAACCGTCCAAGGTGGTCTTGGTCCATTTGGCCTTGCAATTTTAGCTTCCAAAAACTTGGAAGAGTTCACTCCTGTTTCCTTCCGAGTTTTTCGGAACCAAGACAAGTACAAAGTCCTCATGTGCTCTGATGCAACCCTGTATGTATTTTCTACTACTTATACTACAAAAGACAAATGCGTAATTGTTAATGTTATAACATATTCACATATTATTATCACCCAAGTGACATTGTTCGAATGGGCAGGTCAATCTTGAATACCTCAAGAATCTACACACCCTCATTTGCTGGGTTCGTGGATATAGATTTAACAGTGGATAAAAAAATCTCACTTAGGAGTTTGGTATGATCTTTTTTTGCTGTCAAACTTCTCATTATCAAACCAGTTTGGGAGTGATCAATGTATATTAACTTGAGTTGTTTTGCATTTTTGAAATCACAGATTGATCATTCAGTAGTGGAAAGCTTTGGCGCGGGTGGAAAAACATGCATCACTTAAAGAGTTTATCCTATGCTGGCGATCAATGACAATGCTCACTTGTTTGCATTCAACAATGGCACCGAGCCAATTACTATACAAACTCTGACTGCGTGGAGTATGGGCCGTCCTAAAATATACTAAGTTTTGCACATACATATATATCTTGTGTAAACTCGAAGTTGAGAGTATGCATTTAGGCTCCATTCTCATTTTTTTTAGTTTATCCCTGATCTTCTTATTAGTTACACTTTTCCTTTTAGGATGTCTCACTAGTGTCACTATCCTTTAAAAACCCTTTAGAGTTTTTGTTGTCATTTTAGACTTCTTGATTCATTTACTATTTACTAAGTATAATGGCATTCGTTGAAATTCTGACTCATAACAGGAGATCTTCACTTATGCTAGTTCTCATTTACCTTTTCGAGAATGCTTCAAAATACCAAAACAAACTGATAGTAAAGATAACTATAAAACAAAAACCCAGAATTTACTTAAGCTGAAAATAATAAAAAATAATACTAAATCTTAATTATTAGCATAAATGCTGTAAAATTAAGTGTTTCATTAACTGTAGTCAATCGGAATAGCTATCTAGAGAATAGAGTTTGGTGAGGAAAATACATAAAGACATGCCTGCTGCCCTGCTTAGAGCCCACTGTGTCTTCAAATAACTGTAGTCGTTTTACAAGTAACAACCTCACTCTCCAATATCATTCAGGACAGGGGTGGGCAAAAATCCCGATCCTGATGTCTCAAACTGAAAAATCCTGATACGTTCCGAAACTATTCCGATCCATTTACAATGTAATTTTTTTATCCCGAACCGGTCTCGTAATGATATCAACCAGAACGGGGCCGGGATAGCTATAAAATATCATGTCACATCCTGGTGTCCCGTTTGAAATTAGTAGGTTATTTTAAATCTGTAATAGCTATGTAATAGCCAAGTCTAATTAAAACTTTCTAGCCCTTAGTCTCTTGTGTAATTTGATCTTATTTCATGTCTCTTCTAGTCTCGTTTCTTTTGTTTCTTTTGATTAAATTTGTTTGGTCTCATTGCAATATCATATGTTGAGAATCCTGAAATGTGTAGGTCGTAGACATGTATTTTGTTGTTGTTCTTCATTTGGTTAAAATGCTACTTGAAGTGCCATGACTTTTGCATTGTAATATCACATATATGCTAAAAAGCCTAAAATGTAGACACTTTTGGTCGAAGTGCTAAGATACCACTTCTCTCTATAAGTTTACTACCATTCCAATTTTTCCTTATACTTCTTTTATATTTATATTAGACACTTTAAGCCAATATCTCCAATACTACTCCATAATATTGTATATCATTACGTGAGGAGTATTATTTATGATGGAATGACTACTACTAATTACAAGTATACTACTATTGATGGACTTGGGCCGGGTCGGGCCCGGGCCGGGCCTAGGCCAGGTCGGGCCGCCGGTTTGTATGACATGGGCCCGGGACCGGCCCGAGGGTTGGACGGGTCCGGTTCGGGCCGGGCCACCCGCCCGGGTCACGGGTCGGGTCCGGTTCGGACCGGGCCGGTTAATTTTTTTTTATATATAATTTATATTTTATAGTTTATAGTTTTATACGAGTATTAAAAACAAACTTCAAGTGCATTTATTTGAAATGAAATAGGAACTACATTTGAAAATTAAAACAAACTTTAAGAGATAAACATTTTGAAAATTGTAATCAATCGGAACTTCCCGCACCTCCCGATCCTTTGGCTTTGTCACATAACTTCATATGCTTGATTGCCATCCCGTATCCGCCTGAAATCCCCATGCTACATTTTTTCTCGCACCATTTGCAAATTGCGTACCACATCCCGGTCTTCGGGTCCTTCTGCTTATCAAAATTATACCGTATAATGGCATCTTGATTTTCCATCTTAACTTCTTAAGTATAAACTATAAAGTAGATATATAAACTATAAACTAGAGAGTTAAGAATAGGATTTAGGAAGAATTGGAGAAGAGATATGAAAAAATGTTTAAGATTAGGAGTATTTATAGGTTTTTTTACCCCCCACCCCCACCACCCCCACCACCACCCAACCCCCCCGGACCCCCCTGCACCCCACCCAACGGCTATATAGCCGTTTGGGTTGTCCCCAGCCCACCCCCAACGGCTAGTAGCCCAATTAAAAAAAAAAAAAATTTAAAAATCTGACTGCCCGGACCTGGGCCCGGGCCCGACTTGGCCGGGCCGGGTCACATTTATCCGGCACCGTGCCTGCCCCGCCCATTCCCACCGGTTCGGGTCCACACCCGGTCCCGGACCGCCCGACCGGGCCAGTCCCGGGCCCGCACAGTACCGGGCCGGGCCGGGTCACGGGCCGGGTGGCGAGTTCTGGCCTGTCGCACCAAATTGTCATGTCTTTTCTAGATGCAAGACCATCTTTGGTTTTGTGGGTAAAATCCATAACTGTGTTAAATATATTGTCAAAGACGTTCTTCTCAACGTGCATGACATCTAAATTGTTACGAGTGAGAAGGTCCTTCCAATACGGCAACTCCTAAAATATACTCCTCTTTGTCCACTTATGGGTATCACAATACCCATTTGGCTCCCCGTGGGGTTGCTGCATGGCCGTAGGAAAACGTCGAACCCGGTTAAAAACTTGTTCACCTGTAAGTCTTGGAGGAGGGGGATCTCGTACCACTCTTCCGGCAATAAAAGACTTCTTGTCCTTTCGATATCGATGGTTCATAGGCAGAAACTTGCGGTGACAATCAAAGTAACTTGGTTTCCTGCTAAATTTGAGCCAATTGGCATCTGATTTCTCCATACATATCGGACATCCCATAAGATCGTGTGTGCTCCATCCTGAAAGCATACCATAAGCAGGGAAGTCGCTAATGGTCCAAATGATGGCAGCTTTCATGATAAACATTTGATCTCTTGAAACATCATAAGTTGGTGTCCCAATGGCCCAAAGTTCTTTCATCTCCTCGATCAGGGGTTGGAGATAGATGTCTATCCTTTTTTTAGGATCCGAGGGACCTGGACAAATTAAAGTTAAAAAGATGAAATGACTTTTCATGCACATGTCGGGAGGAAGATTATAAGGAGTTAGCATGACTGGCCAACATGAAAATTTCTTCCCAAACTTTCCAAAAGCAGCAAATCCGTCTGAACACAATCCCAGCCGCACATTCCGTGGCTCCATTGCAAACTGAGGATGACAACGGTCAAAGTATCTCCAAGCTTCACAGTCGGAAGGGTGAGACATCAAACCCTCTTTGGTTTCGTGCTCAACATGCCACGTCATGTGTTTCGCAGTAGCATTTGAAGCATACATCCTCTTCAGGCGTGGAGCTAGAGGGAGGTAAAACAATTTAGACAATGCAGACCTTTTCGTGGTTTTTTTCGTCTATGAGGAACAGGCTTGTATCTCTCTCCACCACAGAACTTGCAGCTCTCAAGTGCCACATCATCCTTCCAGAACAACATACATTCTTCTGGGCACGCATCAATTTCTATACAAGCAAGCCCCAACTGAGACATTAATTGTTTCATTTTGTAATATGAATCAGGAAGATTATGGTCACGCGGTAACATTCCTCCAAATGACTGCAATAACCTAGACATGCAAGATTCAAGAAGACTGTATTCAAATTTAATGTTCATCAACTCTGTAACGGCGGATAGCTGAGAGTATCCCTCACAATCAGCATACAGAGGCTGATCGGCAGCTTTTAAAACATCTTGAAATCTTTCAGCTAAGTCTTCAATATGAGGAACATGAGAATTCGGATACTCATCCGCATCAGGCTGATAAAAGGTCGGATCTTCATCCGCATCGGGTTGATACGAGGTCGAAGCTTCGGGAAGATCGTTAAATGGCTGTGGTGGGTTAAACTGAATCGTTGAAGCACCATATACATCATATGCCATTCTTTGATCCCACGTCATTTGATCATAGTCTCCTCATCCACTCATCTCGGTAGGGACGTTACGAGATGAACCTACTGTTTGTGGTAAAAGTGATGGATCGAAAGGTTCGCCATGAGAAGTCCAATTATAATAATTGGCAACGAAACCTTTTTCGTACAAATCCCACACAACTTGGTCGACATCTTTAAATTGAAGATTTTTACATTTTGTACATGGACATCTGATTTTATCGCCATCCATATAATTCTTCTGTTCTTGTGCAAATTTAATAAAATCTTCAACACCATTAAAAAATTCACTGCGTATTCCATAGTTATCGCGATGTTTTTGGTACATCCAACTTCTGTTTTGTCTATACATTATGCATGTATATATATATTATAATCAAAATATTATATAAGTACATTAATATTATTAATTAACTAAAAGCAGTACATTATTTGTGGCATTAATAATTTGAATTAACCAACTTTTCAATCATGTAGAAACGCCCACTAAAATATTATTTAGAAACATTAAGCTGTCCGGAATTAATAATTTACTAATATTTAACTAATAGTAATATGTTAATGGAATTAATCGTTTTAATTATTAACTAATAAAGTTTGAATCCTAACTGAAATCACTACAAATCCTAAATTATGCATTAACAATAATTAACTAATAAACAAATTAAACCTAATCATCATCATTGATCAATTAATTAACTAATATTTAAATCTAACTAATATTATCAACTCATAAAAATCTAAACCCATTTCCTCAATGTTTTAACTTAATTAATTAGTTAATTAATTTACATTTAACTAATATTATTGTTAAATATTATCTCATTAATAATTCACAATAATAATTCACACTAAACTAAATAATAATAAAGTTTCAATCCTAGCTATATATATTATGCATCCCATTAACAATAATTAACTAATTTAACTTATTAATTAGTTAATTTCCATTTAACAAATATTGTTAAATATCATTAATTAACAATAATATATAATTCACACTTAACTAATAAAGTTTGAATCCTAACTTAAATCACTACAAATCCTAAATTATGCATTAACAATAATTAACTAATTAATAAACAAATTAAACCTAATCATCATCATTGATCAATTAACTAATATTTAAATCTAACTAATATTATCAACTCATCAAATTCTAAACCCATTTGCTCAATGTTTTCACTTAATTAATTAGTTAATTAATTTACATTTAACTAATATTATTGTTAAATATTATCTCATTAATAATTCACAATAATCATTCACACTAAACTAAATAATAATAAAGTTTCAATCCTAGCTAGCTATATTATGCATCCCATTAACAATAATTGCTAATAAATAATAATTGGTGATAGTTAATAACCTAATAATTAAGCTAGCTAACTTAATTAAATCACTACAAGTCACTAATTAATTAATCTATATTAAGCTAGCTAATACTTA